GACTGGCTCATTTAGATCATTTTTCAAGGAAAAAAATCTGCAAAACATTCAAGTCTGAAAAACTATGGTTTATCAGTTGTTCTTTCCAATTAAAACAGTATTCCATGAAAAAAGCTTCAGCTCACAACTCAGATAAGCCCACGTACTTTCCTAGGTGACAATCATCTTACAAGGGCTTTATTCTTACTTTCCATCTTTATTATATGGGATATTATAAGAGTTAAGATTTAATAAAATTATTATTTTTTACTGCTTTACTAAAGCTACCCTATTAATAGTCTTTTGGTTTTTTTTTTTTAAAGATGGGGGATTGCTTTTGCAAATGTTAACACAATGAGAAAGGCAAATGACTTCTTAGTATTATTATAAAAATAGTTTTGATTTCGTGGATACCTCTGCCCAACCTCCTCCAGAGTCTGCAGACCACACTTTGAGAACTGTTACTCTAAGTCACACGATCTTGTCCTAATCGTTACCTAATTTTACATTATGTTTGGATCTTTCATCCTCCTGTGTCCCTAGGAACAGTCAATTAGCCTCCTCTGGAGCATCTGGGGGTGACTGCTTCCAGCTGGGGTGTTGCAGCCCCATTCACTCACGACAGGGGGGAGGCTCACCCCTTCCCTGACCTCATTTCCTCTTCCCCTCCAACAGCCCCTTTAACCCTTTACTTCTCCCAAAAACAGAAACGATGAGAGAGGAAAAGCCTCAATTAAAAGGAATTGTGCTGGGACACTCTGTACAGCACAGAAATTAATGTGGCGATTTGTTTTAAAATTATATATTTTCATTGTTCTGTTTCTGGTTACAAAAGTAATAGATACTTGTTAAGTAATATTCAGAGTAGACACAGAGTCTCCCATAATTCTACCTTCCACACACTCCTTGGCTTATCTGCCTTCAAATTTTCATATACACATTTTCCTATATATGTATGTACCTCGAGATGAGATATTTCTCTGAAACTTTCTCTTTTCACTTAATATATCAGAGCACATTTTTCTATATCAGAAATATAGATCTACTTCATTCTTAACACAACTGACAATGGACACTTTTTGCCTATTACCAACAGCGTTGCAGTAAATGCATTGCACTTGTCTCTGCACGATTTGGTGAGTTTCTCTATGGTGACAGTCCCTCACAGTAGACTTGCTGAATCCAAAGGTGTGTGCATTTTATAATAGAACGGATGCTACCGAATTGTCCTCCAAAGACACTGTACTAAGACTCCTCCAACCACATCCACTGTATTTTAAAATGACCTGTTTGCACATACATCTCCGCGACACCCCCAGCGGACTAAGGTCCTCTCGGGAATAGACTGTGCCCTATTGTCCATCCCTGGGTCACACCTGGCATGTCATAGGAGCTCAGTAAACTGGTGTGAAACGGATGCGAGTGAATGGATAATTTTAACACCACCACCAATAGGTCTCTCAATGTGTGCCAGGCACCATTCTAAGCATTTTATCTGCGTGAATTTATTTAATCCTTATAACCACTAGGAGTAGGTGTTAGTATCCTCACGTGCAGATGAAGAAACTAAGGCTCAGAAAAGTGAAGTGACTTGCTCAGGCAATGAAACAATCATAACAAATGACTTCAGCATCAGGGGTCAACCCTTAAGCGCTAGGAAGGTAATGTCGCCTTTCAGTCACTGTCCCATTGTTCCAACTTTGGATCTCTAGTTTTATTAGGAATTTTTAGGATTAAATTAAGCAACCTGAGAGAAAATTTTATGGCATTAAATCGTATTTTAAAATCTTCCAAATTTGTTCCTGGCCCATTACTGTCCATAGATTTGTTTTACCAAGTGAAAATCAGAGTAGTATTTTGTCTCTTTTATGAGGGGTGCGGAGTCTAGTGAGCTGTTTGCCTTACGTGATCACTCAGATATAAATGAACGCCATGCCCCTCCATCCCCACTCCCAGTGCAGGCTGCAGAAGGACTTGGCCACCGAGGATGAGTCGAGTCTGGCCATGGGGAGTGGAAAGAGTCCACGTGATGAAAGAAAGGGACAGTGCAAAGGCTCAGAGGCAGGGCCTATTCAGGGGAATGGTTGAATTTAGCGTTCTTGGGGAGAGGAAAGAGTAGAAGAGAAGGGCGATGAGGAGGGTGAAAGCTAAGAAACCTTATGAGCTAGTCAGATTATTCAGATCTTATTGCATGAGGCAGTGGAGAGCTACTGCAAATATTTTGCTGTGAAGTGACTGCTCAGGGCTGTGCTTGACGGTGACAGTGACGGTGACAGTGACGGTGACGGTGACGGTGCTGGAAGCAGCAGATGGGGAGGAGGATGGAGCACAGACTGCTAGCAGGGAACTCACTTTAGAAATGACCATAAATAGCTCTGCTATCAACGCCTCCCCGACAACTCTCTCCTCCTCCTCCATTCTAATTTCTAATAACGGCATCAGCATTCTTCCTGATCCAGCCATGGAGGGCTGAGTCGCTCTGACTCCTCCTCTGCCCCACATCCAGCAGGTGCAATTCCCGCTGATTCTATCTCTCCACCATCTCTGGAGTCTTGCCCTTCTTGGGATCCTGCCAGGACCCTGTGTCAGGCCTGCCCCTGGTTCAGGGACGCTGGCTGGCCTCCCTTCCCCAGGCTTAATCCCCTAACATCCCTTCCCTGCTGTTGCCAGATGTTACCCCCTGTCTACAAACACACCACAAAACTAATACCCTGAAGTGTCTACCTGGATGAAATGCAAGTCCGTAACCTCTCCCAGCCTGCCTGTCCAGCCTCCTCCCAGATCCTAAGTATCCTTGAAGAGCCAACTTGATGGTTGTTCCTCCTCTAAGCTCACCAAGGAGTCTCCCATCAGAGGTGACTTTCTCTTTGACAGATGCCTTGTATGTCACCTAAACTCCTCTTGGGACACTTCCCTCTTGTGGAGATTGCACAGATGTGTGTCTGGCTCCCAGAGGGTAGGAACTAAGTGATATACATTTTTGTGCCTCCACAGAAAACTTGCACATAACCTGGACTCTATAATATATTGGGGTTTGATTACAAGCGTAGAAGAGAGGGACTTTCCAGTTCTGCTGACTCTAAAGGGGAGCATCTAAACACCTTTCCTTTAAACACCGTCTTTCTCTGAAGTGGCATTCATGGCCAGTAGTGACCACCACAAGTGCAATAAATATAAGCTCTGGTTTTCCCTTCTTTCTCTTTAAATGAGCAATGGTCTATGAGCCAGGTATATGGGTAGGTACTTGAGTTCTGTTACTTCGCAGCTGTGTGATTTAAGCAAGTGTCCTAACATCTGAGCCAATGGAGCTGACACCAGCTGCCTCACCAAATAGGCATTGTATGGGGGAAGGCTGGCATGGAGCTGGAGTCCTGGGAGGCAGACGGTGAGAGGCAGTTTAACCTGAAGACTTAGTCTCGACTGCCCCAGGCTACTGCTCTACTGGCAGGGGACACACGTGCCCCTATCTTAATCCCTCAACAGGCAAAAGCCAGACTCTGGAACACACTGAGGCTTCAGTATCGCCTCTGGCCAGACCTCTGGCACCCTGGTCCACCATGCAGAAAAACAGATGAGCTCCTGGGGGTGGGTAGCAATTTCTTTATGACCATTTCAGAAGTGGCAGTATGGGTAGTTGACATACATAACTCAATCTGAATGTCTGGGTCAGAAGGATCCTTCAGTGGGGGGATGGGGACGGGGAGGCGGGGGGAGTCCATTCTCCCAGTTCACAGGTACGGACACTGAAGCCAAGGTACCCGATAATACCAGGATGCTATGAAAGCCAGATGCCAGAGGCTTCCATGGTCTATGCTTGTGTTTTGAGCAAGAGAACTGAAAACAGGGTAAAAGGGATACTGGGTCATTCTGGGACACGCTGGCTCAAGAACAGGCATTTGACTGAGGCCTCAGGCTTTGAGGGGCCCCAAAACAGCCTCTCCTTGGGCTCAGGGTCAAAGCAGTAGCTCTGCCTGGCTGGGACAGGGAGAAGGAAGTTTTGAAGTCACTAATTCAAGGTCACTTTCCTGGCCCAGATCCATCTGGCAATTTTGACTGGCAGTGATGGGCGGGGGGTAGGAGGTTGGGAGTTATCTGGAGTGAGTTGTGACTGGAAAAGTAGGGAGCTGGGGTCAGATTTTTGTAAATAAAACCCAGCCTCCCCGCTCCTTTGGTGTCCCATTTCAAGAAAATGGGTGAAAGAGAGAGAGAGAGAAAGAGACTGACTTTGTGGCAGAACCAATCGGCATTGTCTTTTCTTCGAAAACAGGCAAAAATTAAACTGTTTACCTGGGGAGATGCTGAGTTTATTCAGCCGCGGCGCTGGCCGCATGCGGAGTACCCATCTGGAAGGCGAGAAGCATCGCCGGCTGTCCTTGCGTTCAGCGTGTCCCGCCCTCGGGCCCGGACCGGTCCCCTGCCGTGTTTCCCCCAGGTCCCCCCGCAGGCCTTTGGGACGGGAGTGGACAGGCCGTGTGGCTGTGCTGAATGACTTCGGCGACCAGCAGCTTGACCTTCTGGTGAGACACAGACGGGGGGGCTTCCAGTCCGTCTACACCACCCGTGGAGCGGGGAGGAGGATCTGAGAGAGACCTGAAGGAGACTGAGGTACCCTCCGTCTTAGTTCAAGAGCGCGGAACGCGCACTTGGTTCACGCGCCTTTTGGGGTTGCCGTCGGGCAAACGCGAAGGACGCGGTCGTTTCCTCAGATTTGTCTTTTGGGGTTTCAGCTGATGTGTCAGCAGTTGGCACCCCGGTTTTAATGGGGCGTCCTGGAGAGAGGGGTCGAGCCTGGCTAGCGGCTCCCCTAGTCCTCCAGCTCCGGCCCCAGCGCGCGGGGCCGGGCGGGTCTCACCATCTCTGGCGCGGGTCCAGCGGGGTTTCCCGCCGCGCGCGTGTCGGGTCGCGCGGCGAGCAGGGGACGGTCTGGCCCGGCTTGGCCCCGCCCCCTCCCGACGAGGCCCAATGGGGTGGCGGCCCCGGAAGCCCCGCCCCGGCCGTGCCCGCGCGCCCCTTGCCCAGGTCTGGGCAGTCCGCCGGCAGGCAGCCGGGAGCAGCTGCTGGCGCTCGGCTCTCGCCCGCGCGGTTCGTTCGTTCGCTTGCCTGCTCGGGATGGCTGGCTACCTGCGGGTCGTACGCTCGCTCGGCAGGGCCTCGGGCTCTGGGCCGGCCTGGGCGCCGGCAGCCCTGACAGGCCCCAACTTGCAGGACCAGCCGCGGCGCCACTGTGAGTGCCAGAGGGTCTGGGCGGGCGCGCGCCCGGCCCCGCGACGTGGCGGCCTCCGGGCGGGGACCGGAGAGACGACAGCGAGGGTTGCCGGGGTTGGGCGCACAAGGAGCCGGGGACGGGCTCGCTACGCGCTCTCTTGCCCCCAGCATCCAAGCGGCGCCAGGCGCAGGGGCAGGGACTTGAAGGACGGTGGCAACTGGTGGCTCGGGCGATGCCAGCCCTGCGGCCTTGAGCGGGAGGGAGCTCTGGGCTTCCTCGCGCCTCCAGATATGACCTATGGGGTGCTGGGGGGTGTCCTGGAACAGGAGGGAATCTTGCCCACCCTGCGCCCCTGGCGGAGAAGAGCAAACGAGTGGGAGCCGCGGCACCCCACAAGCTGTCCCTGCTCAGACAAAGGCGGGAGGGTGGAGGCATTCACTTCCCCTTCCTTTTCAGCCAGGGGCGCTGTAACCCCTCCTCGCTGCCAGGCCCTCGTCAGCTATTTTTGGAGCCTTTTACGTGACAGCTGGAGGAGCGTGCTTTTCATCTCCCCCTTTTGTTTGGACTCCCGCGTTCTCCTTGTCGCCGCTCCTGAGGCTCCATCTTGGGGCCTCTCCTTGTCTTGACCTGTCTTTTCTCGTTGGCCCTGCCTGGCTCACAGATGCTGAGACCTGGCGGCCGCGCCAGAAAACATGACTTTCCCGAATAGTAGTTCACAGCTTCTGTGGTACCCTTAGCTCCCGGCTTAAGAGAGAAGACAGCAGTGGGGTCAGATAATAAGCAGGACGTAGACTGAATCTGCATTACCAACGCTGGTTGCCCGGGCTGGCATGTGGGCATTGCCTGCACTCTGGCTCTATCGCCAACTCCAAAAGGCAAGGAACAATATAGGTCCCTTGGCCCTGTCTGATTCCTGTTGTCACGGAAACCCCTATCCTGACCTGGCCAGGAGAATGAGGAAGAGGGGGGTGGGGCCCAGGCGACCTGGCCTTAATGCTAGTGTAGGTAATTTTTAACCCAGTGTGGAAGCAGCTGACCAGAGCTTGGGCCCCAGCGGCCCCGCCCCCCTGACAAAAAGAAAAAGGGCATTTCTGCTTTTGCATTTCTAGGGTTTGTCTCTAAGGGGTCAGCCCAAGGTTCCAAGTGCCCCCAGGCCTCAAACCAACTTTCCCATAATACAGCACCACATTCAGCAAAATATTTCGGGAGATAGGTCCATTCTCTGATTTTCTCTTTTTTTTTTCAGCACTGATGGTAAAAACAAACACCCCATATACAAACAAGAAAACAAAGCCCCTTTGGGGGTTTCGATAACACATAAAAAGAGCAGGCAGTTGCAGGTTCTTCTGGAAGTCCTCAAATAGATTGGTTATTAATGGGCAGAATGCCTAGTGTTTGAGTTGGACATGACACATAGAATTGTGACCTCTGCTAGCTTGCTACCTGACAGTGCTGCCAGAGACAGAATAGTTGGCATTCTCCTTGATGACAAGAGAGTATTTTTTAGCTAAAACACCTTTGTGTCTTTGCTGCATGGTAATTCTTTCTAGTTTTGCAACTCATAGGCTTCCAGCGGCTGCTTGTGCAGCTCTGATAAGTTAGAGTTTGGCTTTGCCCAACTGTTCGGTAGGAGAATTACTTATCTATTCTTCCTTTGCTCTACTCCTAGCCTGGGAACTTAATTTTCTCACCCTGGCCCTTGACTTTTCAAATCTTAGTGGCTTGCCTGCCCTTGTAGATTCCAGGGCAAATTATTTAATGATGGCTCAAAGTTTTGCAGACTCATCAGTTGAATTCTTATGTGTTCTCCACTGAGCCTTGTTTCAGCCACATCTGATAAGACCACAAAAGCCTCTCTGGAAAGCCAGGGGCCTGTCCCAAATCTTCTATGTGAGGCTGAGGCCTCGTGCACTAATTCCATTCAGGGTGGGAAGTGCTGGAAACTGCTCTCTGATTCCTGGAAGCTAGGCTTTATACTTCTGGACTTTATACTTCTGTAAACCCAGATTTAGAATTCCATCGGATTGCAAATATTAATACACTATAGGTTGTGCGCTTCTTCAGGGCAGGGAGCCCATCGCCTGGCAGAGTTGCCACCGTGTACATTTTTGATGATCTGGTGGTGGTGTCTGATGGTGAGAACTCACTCTGTGTGGCAATGCATCCCAGGAGGGTGGGGGGTGATATATGGTACCAGGAGGACAAATAAGCAAAGGAAGGTGTGTGCGAAGCGCTGAGGGAGCAGGGGAAACGGGCCATTATTTGAGGGGAAGAGGGAACTGAGGTGCCGAGGCCGTGGTGGAGGGGCGCACCTCTGCCTGTGGGAGATGCAGAGAAGGTGTGCCCGAGGCTGGCTCGGAGTGCGTGATGGCGAGTAACAGGAGGTAGGCCAGGCCGTGGGGGCCGTGGGAGCTTGCAGGCCATTTTTGAGGACCTTGGCCTTTACTCTGAGTGAAAGCGGGGGCTTTGCAGGGTTTTGGGAGGAGCGTCATGACCCAAATACATTTTAACAGGAGCGTTCTGGCTTCAGGGACCTGGCAGGAGCCCATCTTCATAATCTGGGGAGAGAGGCTATTGGCTTGGATCTGGTCGGTGGCCCTGGGGTGGTGAGAAACAATTGGATTCTGGACATATTTTGAAGGGAGAGCCAATAGGATTTGTTGAGAGTTTGGATGTGGGTGTGAGAGAAAAGGAAGAGTAAAGGAGGACACCAAGGAAGATACTAGATTGTCTTTCAGAATTGCTGCCCTGCCTTCTAGAGCTCCCAGGAGTTGGGGCTCACACCCTCCTGGGCCATGCTGGCTGAGCAGCCTTTCTGCTGAGAGCAGCATGAATAAGCATGTGGTGAGGCAGTTACCTGGGTTGCGGCTGTCTTGCGGGGACCTTGAGCCTTGAGTTTGGAGCAGCAGGCAGATTCTGAAACTGGGGATGGGTTTTGAAAACCTTACTTGGTGTTGGGTGCTCGGGGCCCCAAACAGAAAAGGAGTTGGTCCAATGGGCTTCTTGTGACTAATGTAATTCCACCCCACACTCTGGCCTAGAGGGCAGTGTTTGCACAGCATCTCATCTGAAGATTTCATGATGTCCCTCGGAGGCTATTAGGTAGCCCCAGCCATAGGTTGCTTGTTACCACTTGTCTCCCTGAAAGGGGCAGATGATGTGGTGTCACCACCATATTGGCTGAACAACAAAGTCTCAAACTCTGAGACTTTGGGGCGCTCTGGAGGGCATGGGGCAGGACCGGCATGAAAGGAGAGGCTGCCTCAACCCAGCCTCTCCTGGCCACGAGTGAGTGCCCGCTCAGGGTGTGGGAAGCGACTCATTCTTCAAAAGAGGCTGGATTTTTATATAAAATCTCCTGGTTTTTTTAAAATTATTATTTATATTGTTTTGCAACAAATATCTAGAGCTTTTTCATCTTGCGAAAGTGAAACTCTGCATCCATTAAATAACATGGCAGCCACCACTCTCTTTCCTGTTTCTATGAATCTGACTGCTCTAGGTACCTCGTATAAGTAGAATCATACAGTATTTGACTTTTTGTGACAGTCTTGTTTCACTTAGCATAATGTCCTTAAAGTTCATCCATGTTTTAGTATGTGACAAGATTTCTTTGCTTTTTAAGTCTGAATAATATTCCATTTTATGTGCATATTGCCTTAAAAATATTCAGATTAAAACTTATTGACCTAAGTAGGGAATTGTGAAAAGCTTAGGAGATATAGTTATTAAATTCTCACATATTTAATACTGCTTCTAACTTGTCATAGGAGTTACTTCCCAAAAATGTTAATGGCAGCTGGATTGAAAGAGTTTCTGGGAAATGTGGCAATGTTGTTTCTAAGTACACCGCGTTGTAAGTCTCCTGGAGATATAAAGTGAATTTGCCTTTGTAGAGTTTGAGAAAAAAGAACAAACAGCAAAATCTAGTGAGGTAGGTTCGAAAGCACTAAAACGTGGATGCACTTCTTTTTTTAGTTCAAAGCAGGTATATCCGCGGTTAAGGGATGGGGAGCCCAGTCTTGAAAAACTTAGAATTGCTTAACTTAACATTGTTTCACCTTTAGGAGGAAAGTTTTTCTTAAGCTTCCTGGATTAGTTTCCAAAGAGTCCTGTTCTCCTCTCAAAGGCTCATGCCACATTTGGTTGATCCATTCATCCCTTAATGGACACTTGGGTTGCTCCCCGCCCTTGGCTATTGTGAATAATGCTGCTACAAATATGGCTGTACAAGACCCTGCTTTCAATTATTTTAGATACGTATCCAGCAGTGGGATTTGTGGATCTTATGGTAATTCTGGTTTTTAAGTTTTTGAGGGACTTCCACACTGTTTTCTATAGTGGCCGCACCAATTTACTTTCTCATCAGCGGTGCACAAGTTTCCAATTTCTCCACATCATCACCAACAGCCGTTGTTTTCTGTGTTTTTTGTTTTTGTTTTTGTTTTGATAGTAGCCATTCTAATAGGTGTCAGGTTGTATCTCATCGTGGTTTTAATTTGCATTTCCCTAATGATTAGTGATGTTGAACATCTTTGCATGTGCTTATTGGCCATTTACATATCATTTTTGGAGAAATATCTATTCAAGTCCTTTGCCCATTTATTAATCGGCTTATTTTTATTTTTATTTATTTTTGTTGTTGTTACAGTCTACTTGTCCACCAATTAATATTAAAAACAAACAAACAAAAACACTACCTGGGTCAGACAAAATAAGTCTCTGCTGCTGTGGGTCACACAGCTGTCCCAGCTCCTCTGAGAAGTTCGCTTCCAGGGAGGCTGCACTCCTGACATTGATAGAAGTCTGCTTGTCTTGTTACCTGTAGGTTTTCCTTCTGTACTCACTCCTTGAGGGCAGGGACTGTTGTGTTTCAGGAGGTTGTAAATAAGTGGGCCCTATGGTCTCTGAGGATTTGACACCTGCTGTGTATAGCAGGAAGGGCTGCCTGCTGTGACCTTGACTTTGAACTCCCACAAGGAGGAAGTGTGGTATCTATAGCCCACAGGCTGTTGGCCGGAAGCCCAGAAGTTAAGTGGAGCTCACGCTGAGGCGGAGACCTTTAGGACTGGCGCCTAAATGAATCTGTCCCTTAGGGATCCTGATTCTGGTAGGTTCGATGTATTTTTAAAAAGCTGGATTAGCTCTCATCGAATTAACTCTTAAGAAATACTCCTAAAAATTAAGCTGGCTCTGCCACAGTGCAGTACACTTTCTGCAGTTTCGAAAGCCCTTTCCATTCAAACTTTAGACCAGACAAGGTGAAGGAATTTTGTAGCTTGGGTCCAAAATCGCCCATTGCATCTTGGGAATGGCAATAGAGTAGTGCCTGCAGTGGCCACCTTGTCCTGTAGGGAGTGAAGTATTTTGTCTGTTTGCTTTCCGTTTCTCTACATCTGCCCCCCGAGGGCATCCAGAGGCTGCACTTGATCCGGGGATCTGAGTTCTTCCGGTATCTGACACAGCTACGCTCCCTGCTCTCATTTTTCTTCCTGAATGATTTCTAAGGTTCTTTTTAGATTAAAACAAAAAACAGCCTGTTTGCATATCTTTGGGAAGTGGGTCATCTTGCTGCACACATTAACTTTTTTCTGAGCAGGTCTGGGATGCCATCCCGAGTCACAGCCGTGGCGTGTGTTCTAGGTGGTTTTTCTCACGACAGTGATATATTTGCAGTCTGGTGGGCTTTGGTCACTTTTGTTTGGTCACTTTTAAATGTGACGAGGTGGCCATGCCGTTTTAGTTTCTAGGCCTGTTTTTCATAGACTTCTGTCCTATGCTGGCAACCGAGCAGATGTCGTTTCTCCCAATGTTGTTTTCAAGTGACCATAATCTCCGGCAGGGTGGAAGACCCCCAACTCCATCTGTATGGACTGTGTGTAACATGAGTACATAGGTCCTAAGGGAGGGGGGTGCTGAGGAGTGCTCCTGTGGGGACAGGGCGCAGCTCTCTGCTGTCCTGCTGCGGGAGGGGGGTGCTGAGGAGTGCTCCTGTGGGGACGCAGCTCTGAGGGCGCAGCTCTCTGCTGTCCTGCTCCCCCTGGGTGTCTGCAGCAAGTGAGGCTTCTGAAGAGTGAAGTCCAACACAGGTTTTTCATAGATCTTGTCACCCTCTTATGCAGTCACTGCTTCCTCTGGGCTGTGGGCAGAGGGATGTGCTGGTGCTCGGGTGCCCCCTTCTGAGGCAACGATCCTTGTCCACGGCAGCCTGCGCCAATTAATTGGATGGGCCATTGTCTTGAGTTTTCTTTGGAATTCACTTCCCAGACTGGTGTTTTTTCTCACGAGTCAGACTTTCCTTAAAGAGCCTCCCTGGCTCCTGCTTCCCCCTTGCCCTCTGCCTGGACCTGGGTCAGCTGCTCGTCCAGTCTTCTGATGCTTTTCTGGCAGGGACTCCGAGTTTCACTCCCGAGTACCCTAAGTATGTGCTACCCATCGTGCAAGGTGCGAATCCTCCTGCTTTTGAACTGTAACTGTGCGCAGTAAGCATGGAGGCTCAGCCTCCCCCATTTGAAGGGGAGATAATGATACTCCCTTGGGGAGCGCTAGAGGACTGAATGGAACCATATAAAGGGCAGGGGCACACTGTTAGGCACGGAGTAGGTGCAAATACTGTCCTTCCTCACTTCAAGTTCGTCGGGTTCTCAGGTTGCAAGCAACAGACCAAATGAGGGGCTGGTTGACTTTGAGAGGGTGTTATTGGAAGGACACAGGGTAGCTCATAGAATGGCATGGATTGGACTAGAGGGGGTTCCGGGCTGCCCTGGGGAACTAGGTGGCAGCGGCCCCTGGGCAGCGTCTCCCGACCTGCTGCTGGACAAGGTGGCCCTGGGTGGCTCTGGTTCTCTATGTTGTCTCCTCTGCCATCAGATTGCTGGGGAGGAGACCTGACTGGCCAGGCTGGCCATACTCAGTGTGGGGTCCAGGTCCCCAAGCGGTCTGGGGGGCTACTCCTGCAGAAGTGAACATGGCCCCTGGCTAACCACGGTCTGCTTCTCGGTGAAGGGCAGGTCTGGCGGGGAAGAGAGGGACTCCCCCACGAGCCTGCCCGGGGCCGTCACATGCAGTCTATGCCCGGTTCTAGATGCCGACAAGAGGATCAAGGTGGCCAAGCCGGTGGTGGAGATGGACGGCGATGAGATGACCCGCATTATCTGGCAGTTCATCAAGGAGAAGGTAGTTCCCTTCTGAAGCGGGCGCTTTCCACGTAGCTGGCCGGGCACAGCGTTCCGCCCCGGCGAGGTCTCCTGGGCACCGCGCCCACCCATCTCCCCGATTCACCTGTCACCAGGTGGGCAGCAGCAGTCCTGATTCTCTCCTTCCATCCACCCTTCTGTCATGTCCAGACCGACCACTCACGGTCCTTGCAACATCAGGCAGGGGCCTGTCCTCACCAGTCTGTGTCTGGTGCTGGTGCCAAAGCCTGCATGTCTTAAAAATGTGTGCAGATTCAGGGCTGATGCTGTACCCTATCCGTCTTGACCCCCGACATTCTGATGTGCTTCTTTGAGGGAGCAAAACGAGAACAGGGCTTGCGTGCGGGGCAGCTGTGCGTGTAGTTAACCTTTACTTAGCAGCTCAGGGGTGGCATCACAAGTCGTGGCTGTGGTGCCTGCCACGGTGATATGTTTGAGCCACCATGGCACATGGTTCCCAGGGCGGCTGCTTGGCTTCTCCAAGCCACTGGGGTCTGCCTGGAAGAGCATGTTGTCCCTGTGGAGACCTTTGTATTGTGTATGTCCACAAGAAGGCTGAGAACTGTCACTTCTGAATGGGGAAGGAGAGAGAACCCACTGTATAGAGAAATCTAGATGCACTTGGATTTGGGATTCAGCTGAATTGATGGGCCGTCACGGTGGCATTTGGTTAATCTAGGGGTCGAGCCCTCCGAGGGGCTGCAGCTTGGTGTCCCAACCTCTCTCCTGAGCCCCGACCTCCTGCCAGCTTTGGCCTGGCCCCACTGAGGAATGGCTGACTCCAGCCCTCTGCTGTACCTTCCCCACCTCCCCTGGCCTTCTCTCATCCCTGCTCTGACTGAGTGTCCCCTGCTGTGGCCTGCACATGCCCCTGAGTCATAGTCATCTGGACTGATGCCTCGCCTTGGCCATCTGTCTCTAGCTCATCTTGCCCCACGTGGACGTCCAGCTCAAGTATTTTGACCTGGGGCTCCCACACCGTGACAAGACTGATGACCAGGTCACCATTGACTCTGCATTGGCCACCCAGAAATACAGTGTAGCTGTGAAGTGTGCCACCATCACCCCCGATGAAGCCCGCGTGGAAGGTGCGGGGGTGTGGAGGTGGGTGGGCGGGGACAGTGGGCGCTATGACTTGACCCCGGTCTCCCTGTAAATGCCTGGTAGACAGTAGAGCCTTAGCGATCGAGCCTTGTAGATGGGGCAGGGGAGGGGCAGTTAAGGGGCTGGCCTCAGGTTCCATAGTTAGGGTGCGACAGAGCTGAGACCAGAATCCATGTCCCCTGTTCCCAAGCCAGTGGTGTTGCTGCTGTGCTGTGTGGCTCTGGCCATGTAGGTGCCATCAGTAACAGGGAGGAGGAGGAGGAGAAAGCGAATGCTGACTCTGTCATAGTCACAATGGCCCCTTTGGGTAGCCTGCCCCTCTGGCCTCCTGGACTGTTTTGCAGGCAGGTTTACAGAGAGGCAGGGGCCACCTCTGTCCAGAAGAGGGCCACGTGTCAGGCCTGTATCCTTCAGAGCCTCGGAGGGCTCTGGGGACATCACTAGTGTCCTGCCACTGTCTTGGCATTGCAGGTGTGCCCCTGCCTCTGCAGCCATGGAGGGGTATCGGAGAGGCGCCCTTACCAGGCTTGGACTCGCTGCTGGTCCCTGGTTCTGGGGGCTGCTCTTGAAGTTGCCATGAAATGGCACCAGTGTGTGGATAAAGGGGGTCAGATCTGGAAAGTTCAAGAAAGAGTGGTTTAGCAGTGTGCAGAGTTCTGTCTTCCTGTTCCCAGCATTATCAGGGACTTAGAAGGAAGCATTCAAGACACAGCTTCTAGCTCCCCAGGCCTCCTGCTGCCTTTCAGGCTGGACTGATCTTAGGGTATTGGAATCATTTTAGTGCTAAGCTCTTCTTGGAGGGTTTCTTTTATTTCTCCTGAACCCTGGGGTTTATATATCCCCATTTTATGGAGAAGGAAGTCGAGGGTCACAGTCTTAGTAACTTGGGCTGGACCCCGCAGTCAATGGCAGTCCTGGGGCTAGAACCAGAGCATCTAGAGTGAGGTGCTATGCTGCCTGGGTTCATCAGACTGAGCTACTTCCAAGTATATGACGTGGGAGTAATAATAGCTGACGGAGCACTTACCGTGTGCCAGGCACTGTCCTAGGTACTTCGCATATGAGCTCATTTAATTCTCTCAACCACCCCAAAAGCTAGGTATCAGCAGTTTCATTTCATAGCTCAGGTTAAGCCACTTCCATACGAGTCACAGTTGGAAGCAGTGGAGATGGAGCTTGAAGCCAGGAAATCTGATTCTAGAGCCCACATATTCACACTCTAGATTCTGCTTCTTCCCCAGGATGATTTTTAGGACCCCCCATCTGGCTGCATTCTTGTTTGGGGTTCACATTCTCATTGGAAGGTGGGGGCTGCAGTGGGGCCGCTTCATCTCTGTCCTCCTAGAGTTCAAGCTGAAGAAGATGTGGAAGAGTCCTAATGGGACCATCCGGAACATCCTCGGCGGGACCGTCTTCCGGGAGCCCATCATATGCAAAAACATCCCCCGCCTCGTTCCTGGCTGGACCAAGCCCATCACCATCGGCAGGCACGCCCACGGCGACCAGGTGGACCAAGGCGGGCGTTGGGTTCCGCCGGCCCGGGATCCCCATCTGGAGGCCCTGGCCTGAGCCACCCTCTCGTCTTTACAGTACAAGGCCACAGACTTTGTGGCCGACCGGGCCGGCACGTTCAAGATGGTTTTCACCCCGAAGGATGGTAGCGGTGTGAAGGAGTGGGAGGTGTACAACTTCCCTGCCGGCGGCGTGGGCATGGGCATGTACAACACGGATGAGGTGAGGTGGCCACGGGAGCCTGAGCTCCTCTCCCCCAGCCTGGCCTCCCTTCTCCAGGCTACCTTATCAAAAAAAAAAAAAAAAAAAAAAAAAAAAGGCCCCTCTTGGCGCATGGTTCCAGCAAAAGTTCCCGGCCAGGGTCACACCATCATCTCTGAGCCAATCACAGGCCCCGAGGGAGGAGGCGCTCTGATTGGATGAGCTGCCACATACCGGCAACTCTAGGTGGTCTAAGAATTGCGGAGGGGGGCTGCTTCCGCCCAGAAGAAACACCAGGTGCTTGCTCCAGAGTGGCTGCGGTGGCCCAGACTGCCGGAGAGAGCTGTGTGGAAGGAAGGGGTGCCGTTCTCGGGCCAGCGACTGGCCCTAGGGGAGCATGCCAGGGACCTCTCTTTCTCCCCGTAGTCCATCTCGGGTTTTGCGCACAGCTGCTTCCAATATGCCATCCAGAAGAAGTGGCCGCTGTACATGAGCACCAAGAACACCATTCTGAAAGCCTACGACGGCCGCTTCAAGGACATCTTCCAGGAGATCTTTGACAAGTAACAGCCTCTCCCTTTCCTGCTTCCCAGGACTCCGCGGCCTCTCCCACTCCCACCCCGTCCCACCCCTCCCCCTCCCCCTGGGAGGTTGCTGTCCCTGTGCATTTGGCGAGGGATTCCCCAGCCTGTTAGCCTCTTGCCCTCTCACCGCAACAGGCCCTTTTCCCCCCCAGGCATTATAAGACCGACTTTGACAAGAATAAGATCTGGTACGAGCACCGGCTCATTGATGACATGGTGGCTCAGGTCCTCAAGTCTTCAGGTGGCTTTGTGTGGGCCTGCAAGAACTATGACGGAGACGTGCAGTCGGACATCCTGGCCCAGGGTATGCCTGGGACACCCTGTGGGCATTGATTGTTGGTCTTCTCGGGCTGGGGGGATTTTCAGACCCTTTTGGTCGGAAGCTTCTCTTGTGTAGCAGCAGGACCAGGGCTTGCCAGCTCATTGCAGAGTCCGCTGTGGACAGCAGGGGGCGGGAGCTCCCTGGTATCTGAGCGAGTCAGGATCACGAATTAGGTTTAAACGTCGTATTACTAAGGCTGCCATTAAAGAGAATGGAGGACACAGGAATTCAAGTTCTAAAGGGCTTAGGTCTGTGGGCTCTGAGGTTCCTGTCCAGGAAGGGGCCAAATGACTAAATTTGGCTCCAGCGGAAGCATAGGCTTGAATACAACTGGGTGCTCTTTAAATGATAGAGAACTCATTTTGTATGCTAAACCTTTTGGATGTAGGAGAATATCAGGGACGATGGCAAACCTCCAAGCCCTAGAGCATTCTGAAAAACAAATCCTTTTGCAGCCAAAAGCCTGGGTGAGCCATTAGAGAAGAACTGTAAGAAATAGCCCAATTGTGTGGGGGGAAGAGAGCAGGAAAGATGGTGGGAGTAGGCAGCATGTAGCATAGAGAGTGAAAGGGAAACAGGTTATGTGTCATGGGTGAGGTCTCGCTCCTGAGGAGAAAAGAGAAGCCCACACCAGGTTGTGATGACAAGGCCGCTTGATAAAAGCGTCGCTTTAGGTCTACCGCCGTGCCACCCTGAACGTGCCCGATCTCGTCTGATCTCGGAAGCTAAGCAGGGTCGGGCCTGGTTAGTACTTGGATGGGAGACCACCTAGGAAGACCAGGTGCTGTAGGCGTAAAAATCAATAAAAAAAGCTTCGCTTTGTTTCGGTAAGTTCAGTGGTGATCCTCTCACTAGAAGAATTCTCATCTAGGCTGGAAGGATAAAAAGTCATAGCAGACGAGAGAAAGCATGAGCATTACCCCTGAATATATAAGGACCTGGTGATGGGAAGGTCCAGGTAAAAATGGCGAAGGGCCCTGCTTCCCGTGCCCCAAAAGCAAAAATTCTTAGACAAATAATTTTCCTGAAGGGGTTGCCCACTTTTACTTTCTTGGGCCTTTACAATTCTTATTTTGGTGCCATGTGTGCTTTTGAAGCCCAGGAGACCTTGACAACAGAAAAGATTGACATCTGGATTTGGGAAACACTGGAAATCACAAAACTTTCAAGTAGCTGAAAACAGCAGCAGATAGAGCGATCGCTGTGAAATGCCGGTGACAGGCTTTATTGTTTCTGCTTGAATGTGCCTCCTAGTCATGAGCCAGGCTGGGTGGGGAAAACTGTGGGGTCTTGGGCCCTGGAAGGCACAGGCTTCAGGACACCTGGACGTGGGCACACAGAGGTATGCTAACAGGCAAATGACAGGTACTTCCGAGTGCCCCCTGCCCTGTGCTGGGCTCTGGCGACCCATGACAAGGGCAGACAAACTAGAAACAACCCCCGTGCTCCCAGTTACAGTTGGGCGTGGGTGGAAATGTTAGCTGAGAAGTAGCTACAACAGCAGGGGCGCGGGGGTGCTCAACCCGCGTGGTCTGAGAGATGCCGACACAGAGGAGGGTCTTCTTGCTCTTCAGGCTTTGGTTCCCTTGGCTTGATGACGTCCGTGCTGGTCTGCCCAGATGGGAAGACCATCGAGGCTGAGGCTGCTCACGGGACGGTCACGCGCCATTATCGGGAGCACCAGAAGGTGAGCGTGGGGAGCATGGCCACACAGTCTACCCCAGGGGCCCACGGTCCACTGGCCATGAGGGCTGGGAGGATAGGCCTAGACCTGTCAGTCTAGAGGTGGGCAGCTGCATTCAGGTGGCTCCCTTGTTGTCTGCTTGGCTCTTGACTCCTCTGTGACCCCTGTCCCCAGGGCCGGCCTACCAGCACCAACCCCATTGCCAGCATCTTTGCCTGGACGCGTGGCCTGGAGCACCGGGGGAAGCTGGACGGGAACCAGGACCTCGTCAGGTGAGCACAGGAAGGGCCTGAGCTGGCCCGGGGCAGGTTCTGGGCCCTGACTGCACAGCTGCGGTCGCCCTCTGCCCTGTCCTCTGCAGGTTTTCCCAGACCCTGGAGAAGGTGTGCGTTCAGACCGTGGAGAGCGGAGCCATGACCAAGGACCTTGCGGGCTGCATCCATGGCCTCAGCAAGTGGGTAGAGGGCAGGGTTGGCTTTCTAGGAGCTCAGGGGTGGGAGGAGAGAAGCCAAGGGCTCTTCTTAGAGGCTCCCCTCTGGGCCAGCTTAGCTGCCAGGAGCCTGGGGCGGGACAGTCTACAGCCCTGAGGGACGACTCAGGCCAAGTCTCCTAGACCGGGCCCAGGGGGTGGGTCTCCATCCCTGCAGCTAGCTGCTCAGAGCCTTTTCCATCCCCTTCCGCACCCATCTCAGCTCCCGATGTTTCCAAGGAGAGCTTGTACCCAGTTCCCCATTTACCTGGAA